GCATTGAAGGACCTAAGAGTGGAAGTTGTGGTACACCAGAACCCTGACGTCAAGGCAAAAGTGATGGAAAGAGTGATGATTCCACCGTATAAAACAGGGATAGTGAGACTCAAGTGTGAAGTCGAACGGATGCAGAACAGAAAGAGTCCTTTGGCCTTTAAGAGAGGAAGTATCAAGTGGAGTCTTTTCCATAACGAGCGAAGAAGCAAAGGTGCCAGTACTGAATACGGGAACAGAGCCAATGATACTCCACCGAGACGAAGAAGTAGGCACATGGGGAACCAATAAGTGGTACAATTTTATGGAAGACACGGGTGTCATGATGTTAGACAGTAATGAGGAAGAGCGACAAGGAAGTGATAGACAAATGATGCTATATGACCAGATAATAAAGAATAGATAATCCAAGCTGCTTGAACCCGACATAGAGGAAGTGCTGGAGGAATACACAGAATGTTTCGCAGTAGGTGAGAAGGGCTCACGCAAACAGATCTAGTCAAGATGAGTATCAACACAGGGGATCATGAACCAGTAAAGATAAAGGCTAGGCCAGTGCCTTTGGGCATTAGGTCAAAACTCAAGCAGATGCTACAAGACTTGGAGAGAAGATCCATCATCGAAAAGAGTTCGTCAGAGTGGGCATTCCCCATAGTATTGGTAGAAAAGAAGGACGGGTCATTGAGATTGTGCGTGGACTACAGGGAGCTCAATAAGCGGATCAAGTTGGACTCATACCCACTACCGACTATAGATGCCATACTGCAAAATATGGCAGGAAAGAAATTTTTTCCACTCTGGACATGTGCAGTGGCTATTGGCAGATACCAATCGCAGAAAACTCAAAGGAAAAGTCGGCATTCACAACACCGGAAGGCCTATATCACTTCCGAGTAGTACCCTTCGGGCTGAGCACAAGCCCAGCAGTATTCCAAAGGCTGATGGATGCTGTACTGGGAGATCTTCTAGGGGTAAATGTCTTTTGCTATATCGATGACATAATGATTTGCACACGCACAAGAGAGGAACATATAAGACTGCTGCGCGAGGTCTGCAAAAGGATGAAGACGGCGGGTTTGAAGTTGAAAGCAAAGAAGTGCTTTCTATTACAGTCAGCTGTTTCGTTTTTGGGACATAAGATAGACAGTGAAGGGGTACACACGGAGCCTGAAAAGGTAGAAGTAATTCGACAGTATCCAGCACCTAAGAATGAGAAGCAACTACGGAGATTCCTAGGAATGGCATATTTCTACCGGAAGTTTTGCCTAGGGTTTTCCAAGCAAGCGAGCTGTCTGTTTCGCTTGACATCCACTTCGACACCATGGTCATGGGGAACGACAGAACAGGAAGCTTTTGAGAAAGTTAAAACGATGATATCCAAAGCGCCGGTACTAGCACAACCAGACATTGCTAAGGCTGGGCCAGGCGAGAAGCCTTTCATCATATGCACAGATGCCTCCACCACAGGAATCGGGGCAGTGCTCACACAGAAAGGAGGACAATGAGATGCATCCCATCTATTTCGCATCGAAGGCTTTGAGTAGAGCCGAGCGAAACTACCATGTCACTGATTTGGAGACACTAGCGGTCGTGTTCGCGGTGCGGAAATTCCACATCTTCATATACGGGTTACCGACAGTGGTATATACCGATCACCTTCCACTAACTGCACTTTTCAAGCTGACAAATGTGTCAGCTCGGGTCCCAAGATGGTCATTAGAGCTGCAGAGATACAATCTTAATATACAATACGTGAAGGGAAAAGCAAACATCGTAGCCGATGCTCTAAGCAGAGAAGGCGCATGGAAGGAGGATGTTGCACTAGGAGGATGTGAAGAAGCTGTGGTAAACACAGTAACGATGGAGGACGAGTCTAAATGGTTGAAAGAGCTAAAAGAGGATGAAGAATGGAGCTCAGTGATTGATATGCTGAGAGAAGGGAAATTAGAAGAATACGTCAGGATCACTGGGATGTCACAACCAGTGCGTATAGCGGATTTTGCTATACGAAAAGGAGAATTAACGATGTTCACAAAAGAAGGGAAGCAAATACGTAGTGCCTGAAAGTTTTCGGAAAGAAGTGTTCCAAGAAGCCCACGAAGGAGCGTTGGCAGGACACTTTGGAGCCCAGAAGATAGTCAATCAACTCAAAAGAAGAGTTTTCTGGCCAGGGATGGCAAAAGATATACAAAAGTGGACAAAAGAATGTCAGAAATGTTTCGTAGAAAACGCCAGTGGGAAAGCTGTACCGCCACTGAAACCGATAGTCACTACAAAACCGTACGAGATCATTGGAATGGATATACTGGAGTTAGGACAAACAACAAGCGGAAATAGATATGCCGTTACTGTCAGTGACCATTTCTCCAAATATGCAGCGGCTTATCCAGTCCCGGATAAGAAAGCTGACACGGTAGCAAAAGTGATTTTCGGAAGGTGGATAGCGGATGGATGCCGCTGGCCGAAATCAATTCTGTCTGATCGCGGAGGCGAGTTTGAGAACAAAGTTATGGATGAGATAGCAAAAATTACTGGATTGAAGCAGCTCTTCACCAAGGGTTATAACCCGAGGGAAAATGGAATCACGGAGAGGCTGAATGGTACCATAGTTACCATGTTGCGGAAGGCGACAAACGTGCCCACGGAATGGGATGTAAGGTTGCCGTTTTGCATGATGGCGTACAACATGATTCCACACAACTCCACGGGGGAGAGTCCGTATTTCATACTGCACGGGACAGATCCGATCTTCCCCTCAAACATCATTCCGCCGGAAACCAGTAGGTATGAAGAAAGCAGTAGCGAACAGTATAAAACAGGACTGTTGCAAGCTATTGCAGAGGTTCAGCAGCGGGTAAGATCCTACAATGATCGCACGCGAGCTAAAATGAAAATAGCTTACGACAAGCGCAATGCAGTGGAAAAGCCAAATATCCGAAAGTAGGCGATCGGGTGTACATGAAATGCCCGGCAGAGAGGGGAAAAACTACGCATCCTAAATTAACTTGCGAATGGGCAGGGCCCTTCAGAGTATTAGAGACTAGTGAAAATTCTGCTGTACTAGAATCGGGGAAAATGCAGACCCCTTAAAAGTACAATTCGACATGTTGAGGGTAGTACCATTAGAAATTCCAGACGACCGTATTGACACAGTAACCTCTAGAGGGAAAAGAGGGAGACCAAAGATTAAGGTTACTTGTTCTAAAGCATCTTTATATTTCAGAGACGCATACATCAACGAGGAGGCACAGCCAGGCCACCTACTCTACGAGTGCTTAGAGAAGATAAGACTTTACCGGGAAGGAGCAATCTGCCTAGATGCCAAGTCTTTAGAAAAGGCTCTATTGCTTGCCTTTGACAAGTGTACCACATTGACGGAATTTATTTGTAGCAAAAGCGGAATCAAGAAGCATGCACCCGTAAGAAGCTATGATGTTCAGAAGATGTATGACGACGCACTGAAAGCGGTGAAGTTGGAGATGGCTTTGACGGAAAAGGGTCAAAGACCAAGGAAGGAAGGCCCAGTAGCGTTTCTGGCGCCTAAATGCGCAGCAGCACTGGAAAGGGATGGAATGAGATGCGGTGTAATGACCAAAGTGATCGTACAGTATAGCCAGCTGAAGGAAGAGCTTGAGAAATTGAAAAATTTTCGCGTATGGATTATTGTCTGGCTAATAGACACCAGAAGAGAAGACGAGGCCATTACTGGAGCAGTTCTGGCGTGCAAGAAGTATCTGGAGGAGGGCGGTCTCATAGTATCGGTTTGGCCACCGGTAGTAAGCAAAAACGCCCATATTTGGAAAGTTATGACGGAACTTTGGACGCTCCTAGACTCCACATTGAAGACATACGCTGGGCCAGACCAGCTCATAACTTTAGCGACAGCGAAAATTGAAGAGGGAAAAATATTTATGGAAGCAGGCTCACCAGAATGCAGTTTTCAGTTTTATTCGACTTATCGTGGAGTGGCTTATGCGCGCTATTTGTACGACACCATCAGGAGGAGAGCCCCGGGAGCAGAACTGCAGGAAGTGTCGCCACCGCCACCGAGGACGCCGGCTCCCCGGAGGGGAGGAGTGTCAGATCGAGTAGATCGGGATTTTACTGTTGGCGGGAAAAAAAGCCCGCCTTGACCCCTTCGGCAGGATATAAATACCGGGAGTCAGGGGGAGGCCTCAGTCCGCGCTGGAGAAGCGCTAGAGAGAGCTAACTCCGTCGAAGAGAGGCGGATCTCCCTTTTAGATAGAGAGTTCTTCCTAGTAAACCTGCCGAAGTGGTCAAGAGGGTAAAGCCCGTCGTTTCGTTGTTGAGCCTTGTTCAAGTTACGCATTATTGTTTCTTGTTGTTTGTTGCCGTTTTCTGAGATAAACTGTTAGTCGTTCAATCCGTGTTGTCTATCGATCCGGTCAAAACCGTTATACCACTAGACACCCCCGGTTACACTCACTCTATATATCACTCACTCAATCACACTCAAACTCATCTTCTAATACTCCACTCTCACCCCCACTTTTGGATTCCACTCTTCTTACTCACTTTCCCCCCTCAAAAATCAAAGCGCAAGCTAGGGCTTGTGCTTGCATTTTTTGCACCTCATTGAGGACACTGGAGTGAGGCGCACGCGCACTGACTGACGGCGACGAAGCCCGCCGCAACAGCAACCAGTGCACTGGCAACGGTTGCGGCGGCGAGCTTCCTCACCGTCACTCCCCTCCAACTCGGGGTCCTCAATGAGGCGTCCCCTCCCCCCGCGCCCCTCCCTTCCCCCCAGGGATTCCCCCCTTCCCCAACTGCGCGCAGTCCTTACGTAGGTGCCGACGCCCTTGCAGAACGCGTACACTCGCCAAAAGAAAATTTGAATAATTTCGAAAGAAATGTGAACAACGGCATTCATCAGAAAATCCATAAATCCGATGGTAGAAAAGTCCATCCACCAAGGTGGGACAGACTGGTGGAAAGACGGATTGGCCGAGTTAGTCTTGGAGGATCTTTCCTTGTAATCCCTATCGACAAACTGCGCAAAAGAAGGGGCAGCGAGTAGGAAGAAACACCTCTGTAAAAGCAGCAGATCGAAGAATAAGAGAGTTGGTAGGAAGTTTACCTAACAACAGCCATCTAGGAACGATCTGCAGTTCGACGACCCTTTCATTTGGCCGAAATTGTATAGAAGAATTCTCGAACTGTTCTGCGCGGGCTTCTAAAAAAGACATGCCACTTGAATGATACATTGGAAAGATCACAAACCTTGTTCTTTCTTGTCCTTCTCTTCCTCCTCGGGCATGAGATCGGTCACTATTTCAGGCATCAATCCAAATTTCAAGAACTGAACACCAAAACAAATAAACTAAAACTGATATGTGAAACACGTTACAAACAACTTCTAGCTACAAAGAGAGTCGCGGTTTCATGAATAGTACAATGAAACTCTAAGTATTTTGTTTTTTGTAGACTTGTAAGTTTCTACTTCTTGACTTATTCCTCTTTCTTCATTGCTCAAACAAGGACCAAGACGTCTCAGTTTAGCTGGTTAGGATAAATAATCGCTTTCTTCTCAACATTTATAAGATGGAAAAACTAAATACTCACAAAGGCCCTACCTGATAAACTGTTTTCATATCCGGTAGAGAGTACGGCTTTCCCGCTGTCGCGAGCCAGTACGAGCCAATATGTAGGCTCCACTGAATGATGTGGTTAACTGCCTAGGGATAGTGACAAGCTAAACAGAGAACTACAAACCAGTATTTGGATCAATGGCATCTGATTCCTCGCATCCAGTCGCGACACTACTTATGTCAACAATCCTCTTCCTTTTTCGAACATTCTCATCTGAAGTTACAAGTGAGACTTTCGGTAATGTGTTAACAGCAATTATCACCTTTTTTATTTCCTGCCGGTTCTCCATACAATAGCTCGTCCTCATCAACGACGGCATTACTAGTGGGTAATCCCTCATCGCCATAGAGGTCAATGTCGATGGAGTCCACAAGAGTTCGGCGTGCAGCCGCCTTGATGCGAATTAATACAAACATTAACCCTTATAAAAATTCAAAACCTTTCTTAACCTGCTAGCTTTTCTTCCTTCGGCGATGTTTGCATCATCTTGAGAACAAACCATGAGTCCACTCATATCGCGATAAATAGACAGTGCAGTCAAGGGAGCTCGATGATGAACGGTTCTTTCAGCAAATGCAGTGTTGGCTATGTCAATTTCCTAGATGAAGGTCGAAATTTTTTATATCAGCGCCAAACCTTGAATTCTTACCTGTAGGTGCACAGTAGGGTTCAAAACAAGATGAAACAACATCAAGCGCCCGTTTTGAGTCGGTAAAGCCACGTAAGAATCAACTATTGATGCCGCAACAACAGGGAAGTTGGAATCCAAATCAATCTGTTGAAGTTGTTTTTCTTCTGCCGCAAAAGCTACACGTAGTGATGTCACCTACAAATCACAATCTAGTTATTGAATGAGAAAAAAAAAGAGGGAGATAGGTATGCCAGCATATATACCTCCTTCATACTTTCCAGTTCAAGTGGAGTTACAGCGCGATACTATTGCAGTTTAAAAATAAACATATTTGAACAGCAAGACCACCATCGGCTAGCTCTCCTGCTGTTTCGTAGGTTCGTCCGAGAGTAAAAGCGGTTTTTCCAACTTAACCATGTCTTCCCCTAACTCGAGAATCAAAGAAGATCGCGTACGAGATACGATGAGATATCTAAAAGCAGAAAGTAGTGACCACAGTGGTATAGTGTGGACCCCGGCCAGCTTTCCATAGGTACAGTCGATTCATTTCATATGATCATGTGTGCACCCGCACACACCGTCCATATTTGGCGTCCTCATCCTGAATTTGCGATCGCAAAAACGCGAGAGAGTGACCAATTGCTATCGCTTACATCATTTAGAGGTGAATAGTACCTAAAAAGAGAAGAAAACATCGAGAACACATCAGAATCGTTTAACGGAAGGGCTGCCTCCTGCAAGAATCCAGGATGGGTAGCCAAAGATGGACGGTGTGTGCAATGACACACATGATCATATGAAATGAATAGACTGTACCGCCGCGACGCATACGCAACGCGCGCTCGGCTTTACGCTTCTCGTTTTACCTATCAATAAAAAGTATTTCAACATGCTAGAGCCTTCGCTATTAAGAAAAGAACGTGGAATTTGTGAAACAAAGGCTCTCAAGCCTGTTGAGGCTCGTAAAAACCCATTATCGCAGTTGTCATGAGTTGCCTTCACCTAAAATAGAGCGTTTATAAACAGAACAACGTCAATTTAGAGAGAAAAGCATAAAAATTTTCATTAGAAGCAGAAACGAAAGCGCACTAAAGGCATGCGGCGGGCGCGTCGCGGAGGTACCTATGAGGAGCTGGCCGGGGTCCACACTATATCGCAACAATGTAAACGTTGGTGTAAGCTTTCAGCCCTACTTGTGAGAATCATCTTCTCTCTTCCAACTGCCCATAGCTGTTGAGCGTCTTGTAAGCTGAACAAACCCATAGAACAATATTCGCGAAAATCAAATGTAGAAAACAGCAAACAACAGAACGAGGAAAACGAACAAACTGCTAGTGATTATGTCTGGCCGGACCGTCCTTTGCAGTACACAAATTGAACCATTGACTGTATGTCCATAAGCAACAATCTAGAAACTGGATTGAGCTTGTTTGACTCGAACTCGCAAAACCCACTATAACAAATATAGCGTCTGTTCTTTCTTGCTCCAGCAGAAATGGACTGACTCCATGGGCACCACCAGCAGTAATCGCTTTTATGGGACCGATGTTAGTCAAGCGATCGAGCTCAGAAAATATAAGTTTTTCTTTGTACTTCTCCTTGACTGTTGCCTGCAACGATTGATAGTTAACAGCTTCATCACTATAGATCTCAAGAGATTTAGTAATCAAACATATAAAAATTATTGTTCAAATATCCTACTTCCTAGTAAACGCTGATAAGCGGATCGCGCAGCTGAGGAAAAATGTGGTGAGTCCACCAAAATACACAGAGAAATCGCAGAAAAAGTAAAAAATCAAACTGTATTGTAGTAAAGTGTATCTATGTTGCAATGTGGGTATGCGAACGCTTCACTCGTTTGATTTCGACCAAAAAAAGTGTGGTATCTTCACATCAAAAGTAACGTGCGAAACTAGTAACGAAACTCTTCATATTTTCCCACTTTTTGTTCACTGCCTCGCTATCCATCTGTCCCAACTACAGTCGCAAAAAGTGCTTCGACGCAAGAGGATTTAAAGCGAGCGAATTAGTGCCTACTGCCATAGTGTGGAAGGAGTAAACAAAAGTACAAACTTGTCACATAGCGCTCGGAATTCGCGGGGAAAAAAGCGCGCTAATTTTTCGAGATTTTATCGCGCCTGAGCAGTTGCACGATTGTGATCAAGTCGAGTCATTGCGGAGAAGTTACGAGCAGGCACTTTTGGGGCAGCATATTTGGCACAGATGAAGGCGTTGGTGTTGGCTGGGTTACCAACAACAATAACCTGAAAAATAGCACATATGTACAACACTTCAGTATGTACATATTCAAAGAACTTGGTGGTTGGCTTGGCATACTCAGCCAAACTTTGCCTTGTGATTTGAAGATCTTCACATTAGCAGCCAGAAGATCTTATCGTTCCATATCCTCTTTTGGAGGCATAGCTGGAATGAATATAACTAATTCAGTCCCTGAATCTCAACTTCTCCAAAAAAAAAGACGAAAGGACAATAGGACGAAATAATAACGAAATATAACGACGAAATGACGAAATGTAGGGCCGACGCGAAAGGAGGACTCAGCGATACGCAGTTCGATTGGAGCACGCTTTTCTCCTTAGGAAACGGGGCTTTTGAGGCTATTTTTGCCTCTAGCAATGAGGGGAGGAGGAGATTTGGAACCAAATTTTCCATATATACTAATCTTTAGGGGTACAGTAGATTTATGTAAAAATTTTGAAAAAATATGTGAATTGAGAGTTTTGCCGACCTCAGGTGGGAATTAGGTCGGCAAATGCCGAGCTAATTTGGAAATTAGTTAAGCACGCTCTTCATTCACATAAGTTTTTCATAATATTTCTTACTTTATTACTTAGTCCTATTGCGCATATACTCACCGAGTCCCGCGCGATTTCGTTTCCTCTGCGTTGCAAACGAGCCATTTTTCCATTTTCTCGGTAGTGGGAAATTTCCAGACAAAAGCTTGCCACAACATTCAGTCACATAATTTTTCAATGAAACTTCTAAGTTAAGCGCTGCAGGACCGTGTTCATCTACCTACCAAATTTCATACCATATCGTCACCTGTGCGCTGTAAACGAGTCATTTGAATTCACATCTTCATTTACCAGTTTTGCAAAACTTTGGGAATAAATGCTTATTACTCGTTCCGTTCACATAAGTTTTTCATAATTTTTCATACTATGTTTCCACTAGCCTCTCTCCGTTCGCATACAATATTTGGTGCCATATCATTACACATATATTGAGAACTAGTCATGTATGCAGTTACAAATAGCATCGCTTGGGCGACGTCGCGCGTGCGGCAATTAGCGACGGCGCGGTTTGACGCGCGCGGACACCAGTGTTCGCCTGTTGAGGCACACAACATGTCAAGATAAGTAGCGAGCATGAACTACCAATTTTTTTCCGGGGCTCCGCCCCTGACCAAAAAAACGATTTCCCCTTTGCTTTTTGGCCCCAAAACGATTTCCAGCTTGGCATTTGCCGACCTCGTACCGGGCCCTGGTTTGGAAGGAAAGTCCGCTCATGGAGGTTTTCGAAGACGCTGTTTATGAAAATCTTGTTTTCTGTCAAGTATAGGAGGGTCTTTTTGCAGAGATGTGGTGAGGTACCTGTAACGGAGTCACGAAAGCTCGTAAATTCGCTTGCACCTCTTGCGTACCTGTCAGAAAACCTGACTTACTGCTTAGACCTTATGATTCTCGAGTTTACAATAGAAAACGCGAAAAATGATTAATTTGTCACTTTTCTGGTAAATCATAACGTTTCACAGAAACGTTCAAACGAGAAAAATGACAAATTAATCAATTTTGGCGTTTTCTATTGTAAGAAAACCATAATGTTTCACAAAAACGTTTAAAAAACACAATTTTTTTTCAGATGCAGAGAATAGGTCATACGACTTATATACTGGCTTCAAATTTTTCTGCGGCATTCCAGACTTTTGGCTACCTAACTTAAAATGGTTAAAGCTCAAGTGGTCTTGTTTTTCCATTTTTTTCTTCGCAACGAACGTACAATAGAAGCTCATCAAGGAACGCCTACAAAGAGCAAGACTTTACCTTTCAATGAAATTGAAAAGACCTAAATCCGCTCAGACAGCAAAAAGTTACAAATTTTTAAAAATAAAACGACGGAACTTTCTAGAAGACCTAATAGATCTGAGCTCTAGCCACGAAGCTGATTCAACAAAACAGCTGAAGCACACACAACCACCATTTTCAGTACAGGGGGATCTCTAGGGTAAAATGAACATAATACACTGCTATAACCATTTCTGTGGAATTTCGACGAAGTATTTTATTTATTTATTTTATTTATAAGTACACACGAGGTGCATCAAAAAAGAAGAACATCAAAGAGAGAAAAATCAGAAAAAAAATGATGCCAGCCAGTCATAATCGTCAAGGCAAAGTAGAATAAATCACATGGTAGATAGAAGATACGAAGCTCAAGACCCCTAAAACAAGGAAAAAAAGGAGAGTGTACTAAGTCAGAAGACAACTTAGAAATCTTGTACCTTCAAGAACACATGAGAAACCCGTTTTTGGGTGCCAGCGAGCCCCCCCCCCCCCCGGTAAGAGCTAGCTGACGAAACCCCAAGAATAGTCTGTTTTGAAAGATGACAAGATTCTGTGTAAAACTGTTCAGTACAGATAGACACATGTACACAAGGTCCGGATGAATAACAAACAGCAATGAAGAGGTCTAAAGCTGCTGAATAAGCTCCGATGAGTAATCATCAAAAGATCTCTATGGAATAAAAACGGCTGGTATTGAAAGTAAGTGAAGACACGAATGAGTTAGATACATCAACAAACAATAAAGAAACAGAAACTGCAGGATAGCAGTCGTGAACGAAAGACATAAAAAGCTAAAAATAATCAAATGAGGTAGGGATCAATTAGAAGCATATGAGAAGCAACACGTAGCGAAGCAGCACCCAACGCAACACAACTCATCGTATCGGTAGTTATACTGCGAGAAGCGAAGCAACTCAGATGAACTGAAACAGAAAGACACAGGGCAGAACTAAATATGAGAAAGTAAACATGACCCGATCCACACTAGTAAGGTATCGCACATCTCTTGAGAAAATGTCTTTGGGCAAGCAGCAACCATCGAAATAAAAATTGCAGAAAGCAGGAAACGAGGGAAAGAGAGAGCCATAATTGAAAAGCCATAAATTGAAAAACGTCCATTAAAAGCCAGTCAAGCGGTCCCTGAAACGTAACCCTCAGATGGGAACAAAACGGAAAAGATGAAAACA